TTATTTCTTCTGGCCTGGTATTTTATTTAAAAATTTTTGATTTCGATTATTTTTAAGAATTTTAGTTTTAATGAAAGTAACAGGCGAACATGAACAATAAGAAGTAAATTCCCGAAAATTAAAAATAATAAATTTGCTTCCTATTATTTCTTCTGGCCTGGTATTTTATTTGAAAAATATTTGATTTCGATTATTTTTAAGAATTTTAGTTTTAATGAAAGTAACAGGCGAACATGAACAATAAGAAGTAAATTCCCGAAAATTAAAAATAATAAATTTGCTTCCTATTATTTCTTCTGGCCTGGTATTTTATTTGAAAAATATTTGATTTCGATTATTTTTAAGAATTTTAGTTTTAATGAAAGTAACAGGCGAACATGAACAATAAGAAGTAAATTCCCGAAAATTAAAAATAATAAATTTGCTTCCTATTATTTCTTCTGGCCTGGTATTTTATTTAAAAATTTTTGATTTCGACTATCTTTAGGAACTTTAATTTTACTGAAAGTAACAGGCGAACATGAACGATACAAAATAAATTCCCGAAAATTAAAAATAATAAATTTGCTTCCTATTATTTCTTCTGGCCTGGTATTTTATTTGAAAAATATTTGATTTCGATTATTTTTAAGAATTTTAGTTTTAATGAAAGTAACAGGCGAACATGAACAATAAGAAGTAAATTCCCGAAAATTAAAAATAATAAATTTGCTTCCTATTATTTCTTCTGGCCTGGTATTTTATTTGAAAAATATTTGATTTCGATTATTTTTAAGAATTTTAGTTTTAATGAAAGTAACAGGCGAACATGAACAATAAGAAGTAAATTCCCGAAAATTAAAAATAATAAATTTGCTTCCTATTATTTCTTCTGGCCTGGTATTTTATTTAAAAATTTTTGATTTCGACTATCTTTAGGAACTTTAATTTTACTGAAAGTAACAGGCGAACATGAACGATAAGAAGTAAATTCCCAAAAATTAAAAATAATAAATTTGCTTCCTATTATTTCTTCTGGCCTGGTATTTTATTTAAAAATTTTTGATTTCGACTATCTTTAGGAACTTTAATTTTACTGAAAGTAACAGGCGAACATGAACGATACAAAATAAATTCCCGAAAATTAAAAATAATAAATTTGCTTCCTATTATTTCTTCTGGCCTGGTATTTTATTTGAAAAATATTTGATTTCGATTATTTTTAAGAATTTTAGTTTTAATGAAAGTAACAGGCGAACATGAACAATAAGAAGTAAATTCCCGAAAATTAAAAATAATAAATTTGCTTCCTATTATTTCTTCTGGCCTGGTATTTTATTTGAAAAATATTTGATTTCGATTATTTTTAAGAATTTTAGTTTTAATGAAAGTAACAGGCGAACATGAACAATAAGAAGTAAATTCCCGAAAATTAAAAATAATAAATTTGCTTCCTATTATTTCTTCTGGCCTGGTATTTTATTTGAAAAATATTTGATTTCGATTATTTTTAAGAATTTTAGTTTTAATGAAAGTAACAGGCGAACATGAACAATAAGAAGTAAATTCCCGAAAATTAAAAATAATAAATTTGCTTCCTATTATTTCTTCTGGCCTGGTATTTTATTTGAAAAATATTTGATTTCGATTATTTTTAAGAATTTTAGTTTTAATGAAAGTAACAGGCGAACATGAACAATAAGAAGTAAATTCCCGAAAATTAAAAATAATAAATTTGCTTCCTATTATTTCTTCTGGCCTGGTATTTTATTTAAAAATTTTTGATTTCGACTATCTTTAGGAACTTTAATTTCACTGAAAGTAACAGGCGAACATGAACGATACAAAATAAATTCCCGAAAATTAAAAATAATAAATTTGCTTCCTATTATTTCTTCTGGCCTGGTATTTTATTTGAAAAATATTTGATTTCGATTATTTTTAAGAATTTTAGTTTTAATGAAAGTAACAGGCGAACATGAACAATAAGAAGTAAATTCCCGAAAATTAAAAATAATAAATTTGCTTCCTATTATTTCTTCTGGCCTGGTATTTTATTTGAAAAATATTTGATTTCGATTATTTTTAAGAATTTTAGTTTTAATGAAAGTAACAGGCGAACATGAACAATAAGAAGTAAATTCCCGAAAATTAAAAATAATAAATTTGCTTCCTATTATTTCTTCTGGCCTGGTATTTTATTTAAAAATTTTTGATTTCGACTATCTTTAGGAACTTTAATTTTACTGAAAGTAACAGGCGAACATGAACGATAAGAAGTAAATTCCCGAAAATTAAAAATAATAAATTTGCTTCCTATTATTTCTTCTGGCCTGGTATTTTATTTGAAAAATATTTGATTTCGATTATTTTTAAGAATTTTAGTTTTAATGAAAGTAACAGGCGAACATGAACAATAAGAAGTAAATTCCCGAAAATTAAAAATAATAAATTTGCTTCCTATTATTTCTTCTGGCCTGGTATTTTATTTGAAAAATATTTGATTTCGATTATTTTTAAGAATTTTAGTTTTAATGAAAGTAACAGGCGAACATGAACAATAAGAAGTAAATTCCCGAAAATTAAAAATAATAAATTTGCTTCCTATTATTTCTTCTGGCCTGGTATTTTATTTAAAAATTTTTGATTTCGACTATCTTTAGGAACTTTAATTTTACTGAAAGTAACAGGCGAACATGAACGATACAAAATAAATTCCCGAAAATTAAAAATAATAAATTTGCTTCCTATTATTTCTTCTGGCCTGGTATTTTATTTGAAAAATATTTGATTTCGATTATTTTTAAGAATTTTAGTTTTAATGAAAGTAACAGGCGAACATGAACAATAAGAAGTAAATTCCCGAAAATTAAAAATAATAAATTTGCTTCCTATTATTTCTTCTGGCCTGGTATTTTATTTGAAAAATATTTGATTTCGATTATTTTTAAGAATTTTAGTTTTAATGAAAGTAACAGGCGAACATGAACAATAAGAAGTAAATTCCCGAAAATTAAAAATAATAAATTTGCTTCCTATTATTTTTTCTGGCCTGGTATTTTATTTGAAAAATATTTGATTTCGATTATTTTTAAGAATTTTAGTTTTAATGAAAGTAACAGGCGAACATGAACAATAAGAAGTAAATTCCCGAAAATTAAAAATAATAAATTTGCTTCCCATTATTTCTTCTGGCCTGGTATTTTATTTGCAAAATATTTGATTTCCATTATTTTTAAGAATTCTAATTTCAATCAAAGTAACAGGCGAACATGAACGATACAAAATAAATTCCCGAAAATTAAAAATAATAAATTTGCTTCCTATTATTTCTTCTGGCCTGGTATTTTATTTGAAAAATAATTGATTTCGACTATTTTTAAGAACTTTAATTTTACTGAAAGTAACAGGCGAACATTAACGATACAAAATAAATTTCCGAAAATAAAAAATAATAAATTTGCTTCCTATTATTTCTTCTGGCCTGGTATTTTATTTGAAAATATTTGATTTTGACTATTTTTAAGAATTCTAATTTTACTGAAAGTAACAGGCGAACATGAACAATTCAAAATAAATTTTCGAAAATTAAAAATAATAAATTTGCTTCCTATTATTTCTTCTGGCCTGGTATTTTATTTGAAAAATATTATTTTGTCCATTTTTGGGAATTTTAATTTTAACCGTGGATTGCCAACTGAGTAAAACTTACTCAGTTCGAACTTTGAAAGAGAATATCTTTAATAAGTCGTTTTTAATTTTGTTGTCTCTTCTTATGTCTCTTCTCTTGCATTCTATAATATATAAAAAATATTTTACTTATATTATTATTATGGCTGTGTATATTATTATTTTTACACATATATTAAATTTTTTAAAAATCTGTGAGTAATTTTTTATCATTATAAGAATGGTGTGAACATTATAAGAAAATTTTTATATTTTTTTGAGTAAATTTTACAGTTGGTATTTACTGATATTATTTTAAGTTGGTAATGTCAGAAACAAATTTGAATGTAAATTCGAATTTTTGTGTAGTATAAGCACTGTGGCGGTGAAATAAAAAGGTAGAGTTGACAACATTAAGTGAAGTTTGCGAACTGTTGATATTAATGTTTGCCTTAACTGTTGATGAATTCCTTTTTAGCAAAAAACCAAAAAAAAATCGATCTTTACCATTGTATGAGCAAAATTTACTCACTGTTGGTATTAACGTGAAAAAATAAATAAAAAGTGGGATGTCGCGAATTAGAAATAATTTAATATAATTATGGTTTAATATGATAGAATTTTTTTGACAATTTTATGATTTGTAAGTAAAATTTACTCACATGTGGCAAAATAAGAATTCTAAAATGAATTAATAATAGTAATAGGCGATTATGAACAATAGAAAGCAAATTTCAAAAAATTAAAAATAATAAATTTGATAGAAAATAAAATAATCAATTTTCTATTATTCCTGGCCTGGTATTTTATTTGGAAAATAACAACTGTCTTGACATTCTGATAATGAGACTTTTACTGTTATGGCATTTAAAACGTTTAATGTCGAGGAATTTACGAACTAAAACGTTGTTGATAGGTTATTATTCTGAAATCTTAAAATGTCAAACAAGTTAAAATTAAACAGTTACTTATTATTCAAATAAAAATCATATAACTATGTGTGTTTTTTTTTTGGGAATTTTAAAATATCTTTCACTTATGTGGGTATTTCTAAATTATGGGTAATAATTATACAGTTATTCAAAAACCAATTGTGTAATGATTTTAAGTTGTCATATTTAATAATTATATTAAAACGGCAACTCATATTTACCTTTAATGTTTCAAATTTGATATTTATTTATTTTTGACGTTTTAAAACATTTTTTGATTACATTAGAAATGACATTTAAAATCAGCTGTTTATCTTTTAAGTAAATTCACGTTTTAAACAAAAAACCAAAAGAATAAAAAAGAATAATAATAATAAGAATAAAAATAAATAAAATAAAATTAAAAAGGAAAAAATGTTACGAATTTGCTAAAATTTTATAAGAAATGGCACATATTCATAGCCAAAATAAGATCAAAAATTATTTAATTAAATCCAGAAAATGTTTGAAAAATTTTTATAATTTGGGAAATTTCGTGATATAAATTTTGGGGATTGCAACTTTTATTTTTTTTTCTTGATTTTCTTCAGTGAACCTTTTTCAATCAAATGTTTTCAATATTAAAAGTTGTTTTTAAATAAATTTCCAATTATTACAATTAATCAATATAATCAAAAAATTTCTAGGGAATAAAAGAAAATATTTAGTTAAAAAACACATTTTTATTGTAATAAAATAAATTAGAATCAGAGAAAAATAAAAAAAGGAACATTTTTTCTTTTTTTTTGTTTTTGTTTTCTTGCTTGGTGTGTTATTGCTCCTACAATATAATAAAATTTCTTCAGCACTTTAAACACAATCAACAATGGTTAGATTATAAAAAAATTGTTTAATTGTCTAGTATCTTTTAAAAGATATATAACAAAAATCTATTATTTTATTATATTTCTTTATAATGGAATAATTAAATTTTAATATTTGTTTCTTCTAATCTTGCATTTATTTTGGTTAACATTTCATATACCTACCTACCCATTCACATTTTATATTTACGATTTTATAATACTTAAAATACAAATATTTTAATAATCTAATTGTACTTTTTTTATCTTTTTTTTTGCTGTTTTTTTCCATCATTTGAATCATCTGATGATGATGATGAAGAATATGGCTCATGAAGATATTATGTGTGAAGTTGAAATATCAGATTCATCAATTGTTGAAGTTGTTGATACAGAACATTTTACTGATATTTCATATGAACAATATGAAATAGATGTTGCAAATGATCAATATGAGGAAGTCACTTGTGAAACAGAGAATTCAACTGGTTTAATGATGCAAAATGTTGATGATGGTCGTATGTAATATATAAAAGCTAAAAATTTTTTAAACAAAAAAAAAAATTTTAATCAAAAGGTTTAATATATATGTACCTACCTGCCAGTTTTCATTAATAGTAATATATGAAATGTGAAATATTATATTCAATAACAATGCTCAATTTCAAAAATTCTCAAAATAAGAAATTAATTAACTTGATTTGAATTTGTAATATGGTCTGTAAGTCTTGTACTCAATTCCTTCTCGTACAGAATTCAATATGTTAAATAATATTTGGTTTCCATAAATATAATTCAATTGCATTTCAAATAGATTTTTGATGGTACAATTATATTTAACAATTATATTTAACAATTTTTCAATTCTCTTCAAAATAATTTTATAAAATGATTTGAATTAATGCAATCCAATTTATTTATATAAAACTTAGAATAAAAATTTTTGAACCAATATAAATTAGAAAAGTTAGCATCATATTAAATTGTGAATAATAAAATGATATTTTTACTAAATTTTAATAAATATAAATTATGTTTAGTTTTTATATCGGAAGAAGTAATTTTACAAACTGATGCTGGTATTCAACCTCAAGATGAAATTTTAGGTGAAAGTCAGCTATATCATATAGATAGTGGTAATATTGCAGATTTTCCGAATGAAATTTTAGTTGAATCTACCCCAGGACCATCTAGGTAAAACACAAATAAACACACAAATTTTTCATTGTTTATTAACTCGTACATTTTAATTTATCAAAAAAAAGGAAGCGTAAAATTATTAATACAAAAAGTAAAAATAAAATGTTAGATAGTAACTGTCAAGATAATGACGATTTTAAAAAGGAAATTTTAATAAATAATAATTTAAAATCACAACATAATAACGAGTCATCATCATTATCTCTGGAAGAACTTTCAGGAGGTGAAATAACAATTGGTGGTAGTAGAATATCTATAAATGATATACATATAACTGGTACCATACAACCTTTATCACCAGCTATATTACGTCAGCAGCAACAACAACAACATCAAAATCAACAGCAGCAACAACAACAACGAAATCATAAGAGCCTGCAACAGCAACAACAACCACAGAATATAAATAATTTTCAAGGGAAAATAATTGATAATCCAAAAAGTTTACCAATACTAGCAACATCAACATCATTATCAACGTCTGTTAAACCAAGAAAATGGGAACAAAAACAAGTTCAAATAAAAACAATGGAAGGTGAATTTAGTGTAACAATGTGGGCATCTGGGGTATCAGATGATGAAGGATCAAATCCGGAACCAGATCCAGATTATACTGAATATATGACTGGTAAAAAAACACCAAATCATAATATTGATTGTATACCAGGCTTAGATTTGTCTGATCCAAAACAATTAGCTGAATTTGCAAGACCTGGCCATAAATTAAAGAATAAAAAAAATTCGAATGGAAATGATTCACATGACAGAACAATTGGTAAAATATGAAAATACTTTATGCATGTTTATCAAATTTTTCTACATAATTTAATTTTACTTTTGTTTTCTATATTATAGCGTGTCCTCATAAAGGTTGTAGTAAAATGTTCCGTGATAATTCAGCTATGAGAAAGCATTTGCATACACATGGACCAAGGGTGCATGTATGTGCCGAGTGTGGAAAAGCATTTGTAGAAAGTTCTAAATTAAAGCGACATCAGTTAGTTCATACCGGTGAAAAACCTTTTCAATGTACATTTGAGGGATGTGGAAAAAGATTCTCGCTTGATTTTAATTTAAGGTAAAAATATTTAATATAATATTTTTTTTTTAAATTTATTGTCAGTTATCTTGTATTTTTTTTTTGGAATATTTTTAGAACACACGTTCGAATACATACTGGTGATAGGCCATATGTTTGCCCGTTTGATGGCTGTAATAAGAAATTTGCGCAGTCAACAAATTTAAAATCTCACATTCTAACGCATGCGAAAGCAAAGTAAATAAGTTTTTTTTCCTTGTTTTTCTTTAATTCCATTTTGGTTTTGCTTTTTTTTTGTTTTTAGACGTAATTCTTCAAATAATAGAAATTCAATATCAAATACAGAATCAAATATTACTGGTAACTTGAACAAAATTACGGGAGGTATGGGTGTTGATTTGGATGATCGTCCTTATTCACCATATATTGTGTACACAGATTGAGTTATAGAAATTTGTAATTTCATTAATATTAAAAATAGAAATAGTAAAAGAAAAAAGGCGAGAAAAAATTAAATGTATATATATATATATATATATACGATATATATATATATATATTTACATAGAATAATCATTTTGATTATAAAAACAAATGTATGAAAATTGAGGAGAAATTAGCTAAATATAAATTAATATCTTATCTTCAAAATTGCAGTAAGATGGGTATTAAATACACAATTCATTTTATGAAGATTGTGAATTTCAATTGTAATTTTCAACTGCAATATTCAAGTCAAGTACTATGCAAAATAGTAATGTTAAAATTGAAATGAAAAAAAGAGAAATTAATATTATTGTTATAATTGCATTTTCTCAATTACAAGTTCATTTATATAATTTATAATAATGCAATATTTTATTCTTAAAGTTGGTAATTTTGCCTAACTAAGACAAGGCTCCAATGGTCGTTTGTCTTTCTTTTGTTACCAGAACATACCATGTTCTGTTATTCGCATCACATGACGTGATGGGTTGTTGTTCAAAAATTTTATAATTTTCTGAATAAAATCATTTCTAAAATTTGAAAATATATACTGAAAAAAACTCTTCAATAATACCTTATCACCTTAAGTGATGCGACTAACTGAATATGGATGATAATTTTTAGATTTGCAAATATCAATATTATGCTTTTTAAAAGCTAAGTGAGATATTTAAAAAAAAGGCCATTGTATCTATACATTACCTATGCTATATATATATATACGCATATATATATATTTATATACATATGTTCGTTTATATATATACGCATATATGTATATAAAAATATTAAAACTTTCAGGAAAATATTATCGTACTTTTTATAAAAAAAAATATTTTTCTAAATTTAAATAAAATTGAATTTAATTATATATAAAGCACTTTGTAAATTTGAAATTTGAAAAAAAACAAATTCACACTTTGATTCTTTGGTTTTTAATTTGAAATTAATTTTTAAGTTCATAAAAATAAGGATTACATATAAAAGTGGATACAATTAAGCTCTTCCTTGACTTAGAAATTGCAATAATACCGTATTAATACACAATTCAGGAATTTCAAATCCATAAGCCGAATTTTGTATCAATAACGTAATTGCTGCAATCTTGAAGTCAGGGTCTTTTTTATATATTACAATTCCTAATTCCGGAAAATGGTTATATAAATACAAAGTTCATGTGTATTTTAAAGTCCATATTGTATTAAATGTGAATATATAGATAATATGTGTATTAAATAGGAGTATTTAATTAAATTATATGTACATGTATATATAAAATTTTTTAAAAAAATTTGTTGAGATTTATATTTCTCAAAATAAAAAATGATATCTATTAAACAAAAAAAAACATAAGAGGAAAACACAAAAACTATAAAAAGAAAACCGAAAAATAATTATATTAATAATAATGTGCGACTGTGTATAAAACTTTAAAAAATTACAAAAAATCTATATATATATATATATATATATATATATATATATATATATATAAATATAAATATAACTGTACATAATAAGATAATTGAATTGTCAAAAAAAAAAAAACAAAAAAAAATTTAAGAAAAAAAAAAAAAACAAAACAAAAAAAAAAAAAGGAAAAAACAACACTGAATAAAAAACTATTTTGAAAATGATGAACGAAATAAAAATATTAAAAATTTGTGTTTAATTAAGAGAAGCCCAGTCCTAATTTTCCATTGATAATGTTACTCTATGGAAATCCATATCTCATCTGCGTCTAAGTCTACAAATGTTTCTGTTCGTATAAATCAATTTTATATATTAATTATATTTATTTTTAATATATATTAATTATATAATATATATATATTAATATATATATTAATATATATATTAATTATATATAATAATATATATATTAATTATATTTTATATTTAATTTTTGAATTAATAGACAAGCATGTGCACTAAGGAACAAATTAGCCATCTAAACACTTACAAAAACATCTAATGAGCTTTCACTTTTTACTTTATTAACAGATATGTAATTGAACAGTGGTATAAGTAATACAATAATACGAGTACATGAATTTCGTTCGTAGCTCTGAAATTCGGAAAATTACGAATATCATATTGTCAGTTACGAATTACAAAAATTCTGTTCCGAATATTCGTAATGGAGTAATCATAAATTACGTTCGTAGTAAATATTCCCTCAAAAGTCTACGAAAGACACAGTCACTAAAAATTCTCTCTACTGAAATAGCAACAAAAAAATATAAATAAACATTTGATAGTTGATATAAAATACTGATCTTGACACTCCGAAAATGATACTGCCATTGGTGATTCATCGAAAGGAATACGTGAAAATTAAAATTAATAAAAAACACTAATTTTGTATTTTATTTTCTTTAAAATGATTTTTATTTTTTATTATTATTACTGTCAAGAAAAAATAGTACAATAAGATTATTATTATTGGTTAGGTATTCAATATTTTTTTTTTATATATTTTATCTTAAACAATGAATATTAAATAAGAAAAAAATTTCCTTGACTTCAAAATTTCAGCAATACTAACTGGCACACATTTCGACAATAATAGAACTCATAAATTGAGTTCTGCACAAAAATCCGTATATATGGTAATTTTAAAAATTGAAATCGGGTGGGGGAAAAAGAATTTCTTATTTTTTTACATTTTGTTTTATATTTCTAATTGGGAAATGTCCATTCGCTTCTAATTGATTAATAATTTTATTAACTTTACTTTCTTTTATACTGAGGTTATTTGTAACAGAAGGATTGTTATCATTACAATTTTTGTTATCATTTAAAATATTACAATTATTAATATCAATGAAGCTACTATCATTTTCATTTTTGTTATAATTACGATTGAAAAACCAATTTTTAAAAGACGGAGATTTTATTTTAATATTTTTATTATTATTTTCAATTTTTTTAGAATTACTATTATTATCATTACTACTACTGTTATGTGTATTAATATTTAATTTTCTTGGTGTATCATATTTTTCATCGTTATCCGAATTATTATTATTACAATTTTCATATTCATCATTATCCGAATTATTATTATTATTATTACTATTTTCATATACGTCATTATTATTATCAATATTAAGTTTAATATTATGATAATTATTTTGTGAATCATTTAATATAGTGTTATTGTCACTTTTTGATAATTTCAAATTCATTGTTATTGTTTCATTTGGTTGATGATAAAATGATTTCATACTTTGTTTTTTTTCTTTTATTTCTGTTTCTTGCATTCGAATTTTCTTTTTATCATTTTCAATTAAATTATCAATTGCATTTAAATTGCTATGAACATTAATTAATGTAATATGCATTGGTTCTTCATAAATGTCTTCACATTTTGAATTTTGTTTATCATTACAATTAATTATTGGTGACGAAGGTATTTGAAGAGATGATGTTGACAATGGTGTTGTTGATAAAAATTTCGATTGTATTTTTGGTGAGTTTGATAATAACGAAGGTGAAGTAGATAATGTTATAAATGATGATGATGACGCTGATATAAATGATGATGATAAACTAGTTTCTTTTATAAAATTTTCTTTAACTTGTATTCCATTTCCTTTTGTTTTCTTAACATCATTATTATCTTGTAAATTATTATTGCTGTCGTCAGTCTTATAATCATTATCATTATTATTAACATCATCATTGTTTATATCATCAATATTATTTTCGCTATTGCTATTATCATCAGAACTATTATTGCAAGTACTATTCTTATTAGTTTCATTAAAATCATTTGCTGTTTTAAAATTATAATAATCGTTACGAATTGCTGTTTCAATTGCATGTATCCATTGTTTTGCTTCAATTTCATTACTAGATTGTAATATTAATTTTATTTTTTTACCACTATCAATATTATTATTATCATTACAATTATTATTATTACTATTATTATTATTAAAATTATTTTTATTATTATTGTTATTGTTATAATTATTGTTACTATTACAATTATTATTATTCTTACTATTATTATTATTACTATTATTATTATTATTATTATTATTATTATTATTGTTATTATTATTATCGCTATTATTATTACTATTATTATTGTTACTACTTATATTATTATCATTATTATAATTATTATTATTTTTATTATTATTAATATTATTATTATTATTAATATTACTATTATTAATATTATTATTATTCTTATTATGATTATTTACACTCTGATTGTTTGAACTAAAAATTTGAAATGTTATATCACGTTTTTTGCCATCACCATAATGTTCAATAGATTCTTTATTTAAATTAATGCATATTACTGGCATTAAATTTAATAAAGATAATAAAGATGAACTAGATGAAAATTTTGATGATATTGATGTTGACGTTGATAATAATGATAATAATTCTGATTCATTTAATGTACTTAAATTCATGTTATCAAAAATATTGTTTTCATTGCTATTATCAATAATGTTATCGTCATTATTATTATTAAAAATATCATAACATAATAACCAATTTTCAATTACAATACAATATAATTCTTTAGAGTTATCAAATAGAAATTTCTTTTTTTCAATTTTTAATAAAAAACCCATTTTTAATATTTTATTCATTAAATCCTTAATATGTTTTAATTTTAAATTTTGATATAAACAATTAATTTTATTTATTTTATTTTCATTTTTCTTTGACAAAATTTCATTATTTTTACCATTTGATAAATTCATAATTGATTGAGATAATTTCATTTTAAATTTAAAATCATTATTAACATTATTTTTAATTTTGTTTTCATCTTCATTATTAATATCATTTTTAAATAGTGCCCTTTTACAACTAAAATGTGTTTTTGATTTAGATAATATTTCAGGAATATTTTGGACTATATTTTCGTTTGTTTTTGTTATTATTTCTAAATTTTTTGTATTAAAACATGTTTTATCATAATTATTATTTTCATTAAAACTATGATAAACGCAAGATAAATAACGGTCAATATTAACATCACCATATTCGTTTAACGATGATATATCTACAAGAAAAAATACAATAAATTAATTACATTAAATGACGTAATGTTATTTTAATTAAAATTGTTGAGCTCACTACCACACTATATAAAATAAGCATCTTTAAACAGAAATGCAATTAAAAAGGCAACGGCTTCAAAATTTCAGTATTAGCTGAATTGTGTTAACACCGTATCAATAATGGAATTAAAAAAAAGCATTTACCTGTTTCATCATCTAAAGTATTAAATTCCGAATTGCATGGAATTTGATTACTTTTATCATAATGATACTCTTGTTCTTGTTGATTTTGTTGTTGTTGTAGTTGTTTTTTACAAGAAAATCTTTTATTTGGATTAATTATTTTATTTTCATTTTCATCTATTATTGATTTTGTTAGAATTTTTTCACATCTTATCAATAAATTTTTTATATTTTCTTCTTCCTTTATAAATTCTTCATTATTTTTTAATGTATTTTGATAATGACATTCCAATAAATTTTTTTTTAAATATTTTCTTATATCTGTAAAAATGAAATAAAAAAAAATTTTGGTTTAAATTAAAAATTTCAATTGTTTTTGGATTTTCAGATAATTCGGACATGTCGCTAAAAGTTCTAAATTAAATCTTGAAAGTTTTTTCATACATAAGTACTTAGAAAATTTTCAGAAACTGAATATTTTACTTTTGCAGATTTTGTAATATATTCGAGTCAAAATTCTTCAATAATCAACATTATTTTTGTTGCATGTTGTTATAAAAAAATTTTCATAGTTTTAAAGTAATTTTCGAACATGCTATTTTTGCAGATGTTGCACTCTGAATTTATTGAACGTGCTTTATATTATAAGATCTAGCTTAGAACTGGGGCCTTATTACGTAATTCCATTATCGTATTCGGAAAAATGGTAAGGTAGTATCAATCAATTTGTATGGTACTACCTTTTCATTTCTGCAAATACGAAAATCGTTTTACGAAAATCGAATTACACACATAGCAAGGCGCCTGAATTATAGAAAATTCCCAAATTATAACCACAGTAATGCAAAAATGTTGAATAAAAAACAAAAGTTTATAATTTTAAATATACATATATATTTTTGCTTACCATAAAGAAGAGTTTTCACTTCTATTGTTGAAGAATTATTCATTTTCTATGTATATTTTACGCTTTCCCCCTGATTGGATTAATTAATATTTTTTTATTTAAGTTAATTGAAATTTTCAAATAATAATGTAAAAAATTATTAATTTATTTATTTTATACTTTTTATGTTAAGAGCCGCCGTGCGTTACTTGAAACAATCTGTTGAAATTCTGAAAATAAAATGCTTAAAATATAAATATGAATAAAAATTATCCTTGCTGGAGGTTTTTTTCAAAAAATACAAACCACACTATGAGAGAAAATTTTATACAAGTTGAATGACACATACAACTTTAAGAAATTAAAATTAGAATTGAAATGTTTACAATTGATCTTCTTTTTCTTCTTATTATTATTTTATATATATATATGTACACATTTCTGTTCAGTTCTGTGTCCTTAACTATGGTACCAATATATAAGAAAAATTCACTTTAAAATAAAGACTATTTTTACCCAAATATGTGCTACTTTTAAAAAATGCTATAACAAAATTTTACTCTTTATTTTTTTCTCTTAAAATATCCAATCATAATTCATAAATATTATCAGTTTTTCTTTATTATTACTGGAGCTGATTTAACAATCGTTATATACAATTCAGTAAAACGATTCCAATGAATTTTGAATCGAAAGCCAAGTAAAGGGCTTTTTCGGTATTTCAGTTCTTAGTTAGATTTGACATGCAGTATGGCTTTTATTGAAGAACTGTATTTGTATTTTTATCGAAGTATTGTTTTGCAACATGTTCTGTCATTCATGCTGCAAGTAAAATTTTAAAAAATCGGATATTGAAAATTTACTAAAGTAAATTGTTTAAAATTTTAAGTTAAATTTAAATTTATCTTTCTTTTTTCGTTTATGCCCTGAAATAATTTCATTTTCAACCAATTTGAAATAAATTCGCGATTCTTTTCTTTTTAATTCTTTATTTAGAATTGATTAATTAAACGAACAGCTGACTAAAGTCATTCTGACATACTTGTGTATCACACAAAAGTTTGTAGTACACCAAATATTGCAAAAAAGCTTTTTTAGTTCTGATTAAAAACTTGCAGCGCATCATGCAATACCGAAAAAGCCCTTTTATTGTTTTTATATTTCATTTATTACATTCATTTAATTTGAGATAGAAATTTTAAAATAATTTTGAGGTTTGTAGTAAGCACAAGTACCGTGGTAAAATATATTAAAAAATTGGTAGACAGTTTATAAGCTAAATTTTTTTTTGGTTTTTGTTTTTTAGATACATATTGTCCTTTATTTTCTTAATTATGTTTTTTTTTAAATATTTCTGTAACGTTCGACAATATTTCACTTCTTTTTTGCCATCATAAAATTCGTGTAAGTCTTCAAAAATTACAGTAATATTGGTTGGCCTTGTCATCACTGTCACAAAAAAGTGAATTGAAAAGGAAATCAATTTGTAAATGGCAAACAGTGTATATTACGTTAATTTTTTTCATAATGATGACACCCAATTTTTTTTTTCAATACAAAATTTACAATCAATATGGACAATTACTACTTTTGACGGTTATTTTTTTTAATGATATGCTAAAAATTATTGATAAAAACAATGATGACAGGCTCCATTCAGCAATAATAAACTTATAAGCTGAAATTGTGTAGCAATCCAGGGGTCTTACTATGTAATTCGATGTTCGTATTTGCAGAAATGGAAAGATAATACCGTACAAGTTGATTGCTTGTTACCATTTCTGCAAATATAAAAATAAAATCGAATTACTTAGTAAGGCCCCAGTATTACTGAAGTTTTTGAAGTTAAAGAATAAAAAAAATCCTTCTAATATTTATGAAAGTATTTTTTTTTTTAATTTTTATTCGGGGCGGTGTTCAATATTTTTACTCTATTACTTTTTAATTTTCCATTTAAAATTAATTAATTTTTTTAATTAAATTATTAAATTTACAAAGTACTCTCATTTTTCTTCTTTTTTTCATTTTTATTTTTTTATTAATTTTTTTTTATTTTTATTATTTTTAAATATATGATTTTAAACATTTTACACTTTAATAATAATTCTTGCCTTATGAATTTTAAAAAATTTTAACATATAGTTTTCTTTTCTTCGATAATCACAGACTTTTAACATAAATTTGTAAATTGCATATATGTACATACACACATTTTTGTTTTTTTTTTCTCTTTTGTTTTTCAATCGTAAATTATTATCAGTTTTATATATTTCATAAAAAATATTGAATATAAATATATATATAATACACCAATATTTCATGTTAAATTTAACAAAAAAATATTTTATTTTGGCATTTTTCTTGACTGTATTCAAAAATTTAATATTAATTGCGGAGCTTAATTAATATATTTTCAGCTTATAAATTATAATTGCTGAATTGCTAAATATATATATACATATGTATTACTGTAATTTCAATTTAAATATAAAGGTACTTTTTTTTTTATTAATCTAAAAATTTTAATTCTAAATATTTTTTTGATATTTGACTATTTCAAAATAATATTAAGTAGTACGATGTTAATAAACAATTCAGTAATCTGAAAATTTATAAGTTGAATTGTGTATTAATACCATTATTATGTTATACTTTGGATTTTGAAGTCATACGAGGGCTTTTGAAACATGCTTTTCCAAAGCAGCAGATTAAATCTATATCATATAGTATAATTACCATTTTTTAGTACCCATTTTTTTGAAAATTTTTATCAAACAAGTTTAAAAAATATTTTTAAGATTTTTTAAGTTAATTTTTCCTAAACAGGCCAAAAAGTCCTGTTAAGTCTGTCTTTTAAAGAACACAATTTCAAGCAATTCAGCAATTTTATAACTCATCAGCTTCTTTTTATTACCATGTTACTGCAATTTCAAAGGCAGCGATTTTTTACGACTTTAAAAAAAAAATAAATATATAAATACCAAAAAAATTCATTTTAAAAGTGATACAAAAATACACCGACTTCGAAATTTTAATAATAGAGTATACATATACAATTCAGCTTACGAGTTTGAATTGAGGGATTGTATAATTAATACTGTATTACTGCAATTTTGAATCAATGATAGTGATCACATGAAATTTATCACAATTTTTAACATGATTAAACTGGTTTTTATATATATTTTATATATTTTCTTAATTTTTTTTTTGTGTGCAAATGTGTTTTTTTCGTATTTTTGTTCTTGCACAAAAAAGAAAAACAAAAAAAAAAAAAACTTATGAAAAATATTTTTTTGTCTTTTCTATACTCTTGTTTTTTATAATTAATATTCAATTTTCATTTTATAATTATAGTTTTTGAAATAAATTCGTTTTGCAAGGACAACAAAAAGGAATAAAAAATATAATAAATTAAAATTATATTTTAAAATACTTAAGTACTGAGGAGATTTCAAATAATACATATTAAAAAAAAAACATGATGACAACTTTCCTTTTCATTCTTCAATCTTCTATATTCAGAAACATAAGTTAAAAAACCTATTCACATCATTTATATAAAAATAAAGATTAACTCTAATGTCTTCATTTAATTAAAATCTATAATTAAATCAATGTTATTATAATCTATGATTAAATTTGCATGAATATGTAAAGTAATACATAATCTAATTGAATTTAAATTTCAGACTATTATTTTTAGATTTGGACCGAATTACCAAATTTAGCGAAACAGTGAATCGTGTGGAACCTTACTATACGTAATTCGATTTTCGTATTCGGAAAAGTAGAAAGGTAATGGTACTACCTTTCCATTTCTGCAAATTGAATCACATAATATGGCGTATCTCCCAATGACTGCCTGATCCGAATTCGAAGATAATAAAAGCAAAGAATATTTGATGAGAAATATAATAAAGACAGGTTAGAAGTCGTCGGAAGATACCTTCCTTTTTTAATTTTACAAAATCGTTTTGTTTATATAAACCACTAAAAAAGTTGTCCGTCCGTCTTATGAAATAAAAGTAAAATGTTTTAAATATAAGTTGTCATCTCAATTTTGTTTTCAATATTTTAATTATCTAAATTTCGTTAATTTTTTTTTGTTTTTTCTCTTTTTAAGGATTTTTTGAAATTAGAGAGATTAATTTTTACTTAAATTTTTATTTTGTTATTTTTTTTGTTTTGAATTATTTAAATACATACACACATTACATATTTTTAATACATACACTGTTAAGTCTTAAAAAAAATTTATTTTTTCCTTTTTAAATTTGTTTGTTTGTTTTTTTTTGTTTTTTATAAATTTTTTGCATAATTAATAATGATAGGTATTTTTTTTTTTTGTTTTTTTTTCCTTGTTTGTTTTTTTTATTTTGCATTTTTGAATATTCATCACGAGCCTTGTGGTAAGTTAAAAATAACGGTAGTTTTAAACAAATAATTTTACTTTTTTTTTAAATTTATTTATTTATTTTTTTTCTATTTTATGAGTTCTAATTAAATCTGGCATTGGTTTTATTTTTTTTTAATTTTAAATTTTGATTGTAACTTATAAGACAAAAAAAAATAAATAAATTTCTTGTGTTTTTTTTTCTTTTTTTACTTTTCAATTTTATTTAAATTTTTTTTCTTTTCGATATAAATTTCAATACAATATTATTTATTAAATATTGTGTGTTTTACATAGAATTAAATTTTATTTTTAATTATATAACATATTAAACGTGACCTTAACAACATGTTTTTTTTTGTAATTATTAGAAAATTAAAGCTTCTAATTTTTTCTATATTAAAAATAAAAATAAAAAAAAAAACACATTTCATCACACCCCCACTTTTTATCACATTGTTAAACTTTTTTCTTTTGTTTTTATATTAATAGAGATAATCAGCTCTATCATGAATTTCACTCGTAGTCTCCTACGAATTATGAGCATAACTACGACGTAGACTTTTGAATGATCACGAATTCCTTTCGTATAAATTATGAATCATCAATGGCGGTATAATTTTTCGGAGAGTCAAAATCAGTATTTTATTTCAACCATCAAATGTTTATTTATATTTTTTGATTGCTATTTCATCAGTAAACAGAATTTTGAAAAATATCTCGTTTTTAATGAAAGTTTTTCAGCTTTTTTTAGTTTTTGAATATTTTTGAAAAGTGGAAAAAGAAATTTTTTGGCAATAAGAATTCATTTATTTTTATGGTAGTTGTGTTAGAGTAACTCAAATTCAAACACAAACAAAAAAAATCAAATTTTGAAAATATAATATGACTATTCTCTTTAAGTTGCTTATGATTACTCCATTACAAATATTCGGAGAAGAATTTTAGTAATTCGTAATTGATAATATGATATTCGTATTTTCAGAGCTGCGAACGAAATTCATGATAGGACTGAATAATGAAATTAAAGTTAAATTGCTCAGTGCTATACAATTAAAATGATTTTATGATTTCAAAACTGAGTAAATACGATAATTAATATACAATATTTCAGCAATTATAAGCTACAAGCTGAATTTTGTATTGATATCGTAATTTAACAAATTCTAATAGGCCAGGTGTTTTTTTATTATTAAATCTATTACTAAATATCACAATATACATATTATATAGTGACAGAGATTAAATATGAAATGAAAATGATATAAAAGGATGATTTGAGATTTATTTGTTCTTTTTAAGAAAAATGTTTCAAAACTATTTTTTTTAACAACACTTATTTGAAAAATGAATTATTAACCTATTTTGTATTTATGATGAAAAAAAATTACTGAATTATGTAACACTATGAAAAATACATATTTAAACATTTAAATATATAAAAGTGTGATTGCAATTGGGATGTTATAGAGCAATAATTGACCGTCATTATTAAGATGAATTTTTCGTCTTTTACTTTTAACCATTATTTTTATTAAAAAAATCTCTTCAAAATAGAAATGTAATATTTTATTGTCAATTTTCTCCATTCATATGTATTGCTGAATTTGAAATAATTTGAAAATTTTGATGTTTTACACAGCCATTTAATGCATGTGATTTATCTGTAGAATTAAGTAGTGTCAGCGAAAAAAATAATTAGTTCAATGATAAATCAAAACAAGATTCAATCTGAAAAAATTCAGTGTTTAAAAGTTTATTCATCTTTTAAAAACAAAAAAGCATATAATGATAGAGGTAAGTAGTGAAACATATGTACAGGAATATTTATCCTGTGTTTATTTTCCATTTATCAATAAAATTATTTTCTCAGATATTATAATTTTTAATTTTTATACACTATAAAGAAAATCAATAATAACATACCACCTACTAGCTTCTTTAACTTAACACCAATAATACTAATGTATTCGAATTTGAAAAATATCTATGAATAAGATCAAATTAATTTTAAAAAATATAAACAATAAAAAAGGCCATTATTCTGTTAATGAATAAAACAGTGAATTCAGATTGATCATCTATTATTGTTAGCTGAAGCTACATTTTTTGGAGAAAATTGTCAGTGACCAATTGGCAAATTATTTTGAATCAAAAAATTTGATTACGGAATTTTAATCTGGGTTTCGAAAAAATCATGTTCAAGTAAGATTTTTTTAGAAAAGAAAAACTAAAAATATGCTTTTATATATTAAATGGATAAAATACTAAATATTGTTCAAATAATTATTGAAGAAATGAATTAACTGAATTACTTTTAGTTATATAAAACAATTGTAAAGAAAACATATGAAATTGTAAATAGTTAAATGAACTAAATAAATAAATAAATACAGATAACGCTTCTACTGACTTTTAAATTGCAATAATACTAATATCATTGTTTATAATATAGAATTATAATTGTTTATTTTTGTATTAATAAATAAATTCTGACTGCAGATTTCAAGTAATACGCCTATTAATATAATAATAATTCAAGAATTATATAACTCATAACCAAAATTTTGTGTATTAACACAACATTAACTTTATTAAATTTTGCAATTATGGACCGTAGTACTATTGCTATTTTAAAATCAGGGTATATCTTAAATTAATTTTTAATCGTTTATATATGTATAAATGTATATATGTATAAAAAATAGCTTATATATGTATATGTTTAACAAAACTTTATGTAAGTTTAACAAAATGATTTAAAGAGTGTGTTTATTTATTATTATGAAATTTTTTTTTATGCAATTGCAAAAATATATAATATATTTATATATATATTTATTATATATATATAATTGTACTTCTAATTTGATGAATAATCAAATATGGATAAGGAGAGAAAACTTATATAAATTTAGAGTTGTTAGTAGTAATAATAACAATAATTGATAATAGCAGATGATCCATCCATCTTATCATTAAAAATATCTAAATCGCAAGGAGAGATTGGAAGAGAAGAATCCTAATATTGAAATTCTTCATCATCAATATTATTACAATTAAAATATTTATGTAATAAACTATTTTGCTTTTTGATTTTTATATTTGTTTTCGTTTTTCATTTTCTTAATTTTCAATTAATTTTTTTTTTTATTGAGTATTCATAGTTTTTGTTGTCTTTTTCATTTTCGCTTTTTTTTGCCTTATTTTTTATGTTAGTTAGAAGTTTTTTAATTTAATTTTTCTTAATTACTTTTATTAAAAAAAATCTATCCTTTTCTTTTTAATTATTTCTAAATTAAGATTCTAACTTGTTTTTTTTTATTTTTTACTTTTTTTTGTTTTAAGCAAGAGATTTATTTTGCTCTCTAGTTTATTAGCGGCATGTTATATGGGGATCTCTTAAAACAAACCGTACAAGAAAAAAATTTTTTCTCCTTTTAATTTTTTTTTGTTTTTAGTTTTTTTTTTCTATCAAAATTCTTACAAAAAAAAAATTAATTAATTAATTAATTAATTTTTTAATAAAAGATATTTAGATTTTGTATGTAATTTTTATACATAATGTGTATGTATACATTGTTAATGTTACTAATTTATGTAAGACAAAACATTTTTGTGCCTGTATTTGTCTAATGAATTGTGTATATACTTTTGTATTTTTTGGTTTTAGGTTTTTTGTCTTTGTTTGACAGGTGATGGCTGCCGCACTGTTCAAAATGTAGATGTAATGTAAATATTTTATTTATTCAGCGAAAAAATTTTAATTGTTACGTAATTGAATAATGAAGTATATTTCAAATCAATATATATTGAATTTAGGAAAGTGCTCTGGTATGCCATCAATGGTAGTGTCGCAAAAAGGAAGAAATAAGGGTGTTTTATATATAATTTCAGAGAAAAAAATTAAACCCGCTTTTTTCTTTCCTCCAAAAACAAAAAACTTAACACCACTTCTTTTTTTTGTATTTAACGTAAGTTTTAGTTAAAAAAGCGAATTTTATAATTGGAGTACATAAAATATTTTATGTTAAACTTACTTTAAAAAAAAATATATAATATGTATATACTTAGGCTTATATTATGAGGAGAGAACATTACACAAAATTATTTATTCGGTTAATAAAATTATAAGTAAATATAGCAAAAAATATATAAATATATGCATATTGCAGATTATAATATATTGTTATTACAGACAGGCTAATTTTTAAAATGCATTAATGCACCATCTATTGATTTATTATGAAAAATTTCAAATCGCACGCTCACTTACAGCACATAAGATCAACTTTTAATTTTCAGGGTTTTATGAACAGATGGTAATCAATTAATTAAAAAATCCGATAGAATCCTTTTTTGTTTTTTTTTTTACTAT